GGGTACAAAATTGTTGTGTAGTGGGGAAAAATATGGAAAACTCATGGCACTTTCTATGAACAAATAGCATAAGAGCCATTAATAGAAAGCTATCAACTGTGATATAAGTCTGTATTGCCAATGCTCACATGAGGCACAAAAAACTACCAAGGAATGAATAACTGCAAAAAAACATATTCAAATAAACGAAATTAGTTGTTCTTCATGTTGAAATATAAATATAAAGACAATGGTTTTGACAAAAGGAATTGTGAAAGTAAAAAGATAAAATATCAAGCTGAATTTTGAATTTGAGGTGGACATAGGAGATATTCTTCATGTCTGACAAGCAGTAAGGAATGCTCATTTTTAGGGTGCTGTATGGTCCACGTATGTCAAATGTAAATAAATATATGAAAAGAAATGGATATTTAGTTTGTCCACCCCACCTGAACTTCCAGAGCCACCAGCATTCACTGGTTTCCTGTAATGTCAAATGTGACAAAAGGATTCTCATTTGGGAATTGGGGATTGTTGACCTCAGACTCCTAAACTGCACTTTTCCCCACACTGACAACAGAGGACTATGATTTCCTTCCCTATTCCAGCTACACATCCTCTTGGAGCCTCCTTTACTTAGACCAGTTCAAAAGATCTGTAGCTAGTGGAATAGGAAAGGATGCATTATGTAGATCATTCAATGAAGGAAGTCTTTATGGTCAACGATTATTTACTTTTTAACAATAATCTCTGTCTGCATGTGACACAGCAACTCAGACATGAAGCAGGGATTTATGTTTCCGCTCAGCTGTGGGTGGACCAGACTTTGAATTCCAACTTGCTGAAGATGTTGCCAGCCTCCACAGTTAGTTCTGATTACTTGAGCATGCTTCCTGTACCTCCAGTGGCCAAACACACATAGCAACAGGTGCATGATCCCCCACTGTGCACTGGGGTTCCCACTTACCTATTGGCTTTCCCAACAGCAAGATGAGGATAGGTGGAACTAAGGGAAACAAATGTGATGTTATCTCAGTGTGTAGGGAAGACCACACAGCCTCCCCAGCAGCCCAACATTGGTGTGATTGGGCTGCTAGACCAGGCAATGCTCCTCATGCCATGGGCATGTGTAACCCAGGCCAGCGTTCCATAGAGCTTCTGAAGGCACTCCCAACTTCTGAATTTTTAAACGTAACAAAAACAAGTAGATAGAATTTTAAATGTACCCACTATGAGTTATGTTATCTCCAGATAGGTACTTATTTAAAAATAGGGGATTACTTTGGTTTATAAAATAATTTTTCTTTTATGTTACAACATGGCACTACAGGTTAAAATCTCTGGATATTTGGCAAAACATTCTTACAGAACTCTTTTAAGTGGATGAATTTAATATATATATTTGTTTATGTATTTATTACTGGAATGGTGAAATCATATTCATTTTCTCCCCTCTACACACAATATTGGTGAAAACAAGATCTTTGTATTTCCCTCAGGAGATTTTTTTCCTTCCTTTTAAACTTTTTGGTAATTATATCATGTTTACTTTTTGATTGATCTAGAGCTGACATTTTTCAGTATAATAATAAAACATACATCTATAAATTCATTACAAATAAACAAGAATTCTAGATTAAGTTAGGACACTCTCAGTGAAGACAGTTGTCACCATTGTGTCCATGTGGATGAAAATTTTAGAAATAAATGCATAGAATATCTTCTTTTTTCTTCTACAAAATCAGAGAATAGGAGGGCAGAACAGATTTTGTCTGGAGACAGGGTAATGGGAGGTGGCACTGGGGGGAGGGGAGAGGTGGATGAAATAATGTATACACATGTAAGTAAAGTAAAACTGATACCTGTTAAAACTGTTCTGCTAATCAGGGGAGGGGAGATGAAAGAGAGCTGCAGCAGGGATGAATTCAAGTATGATACATTTGATACATTGTAAGAACTTCTGTAAATACTCCACTGTACCTCCACCCAGTACAAATTGATACTGCTTTTAAAAAATGAGGGTGGGGTGAAAATGCAATATATTTTTGTGTGGTGCTCTGATTTGAACCGTTTTCTTGCTAGGCAGGTGATCGACCACTGGAGTCACTGAAGTCCCTTACGTTTTATGTACTTTTTAAATAGGATCTCGCATTTATGCTCAGGCAGGCCTGGACTGTGATCCTCCTGTTTGTGCTTCTCAAGTAGCTTAGATGACAGGCATATGCCAGCACACTCAGTTTCTTGGTTGAGATGGTGTTTCATGAACTTTTTGCCCTAACTGGCTTAAAACCACAATCCTCCAGAACTCTGTTTCTGTATAGGGATTATAGCCACTGCACCCTACCCAAATTAGTTGCTTTCAAATAGCAGAGAGTCTTGCTGCATTGTTGAGAAAGTGTAAAGGTAATGCATGCATGCATGAAAAGTTTTGAGTAGACAATATTAAATCAAGTTCACACATAGGGTATTGCACAACACAAGAGGAAATAAACACCAATTTTTGTGAAGTAAATTAATGCCATTTTTCTTTCTTCTCTTCCTCTCCCTCCTCTTCATTCTTTTTCTCACTCTCCCTCTTCTTCTCAAAAAAGTGTAATCTGCTCTGGTTTCCACCTCTCAACAAATTCAATCCTATTTCTTTGGTTGGGGAAAGAGTTACTTCTCCAGATCCTGGGAAAATGGCCTTGCTCTTTGGTCTATAAGAGAGTTATATTTCTCTTGATATCTCTGCAGCTACATCTCTACCACATCTGCAGTGGATTAAGACTCCTTATACCTAAAGAAGACTTCCTTGTGACTCTGTCACTTCTGTGGGCATTCTTCAGCCATGGGGCAATGACTCTATTCTCATGAGACTCACCAACATACTCATCTTCTCTCCAACTTCCCAGCAGTCTCCCTATTTCCTCCTAAAATTGCTTCTGCCACTTTCCTCTTTTTATGTTTTCTGAATTTTCTCTTCACTGAATTTTCTCCAGTAAAATTCCCATCTGTTTGTTTAGGATTTCAATAACACATGCACAGCAAACTTGTTATGAAGCAAGGAGAGCAGAAATTCATGGGAGGAAGTACTTTTGTTTAGGTGAGGATAGCAAAACAGAACTGGGCAAGAGAAGCCTTTTTAATTTTCCAGACTCCTGAAGCCAAAGCAACAAAAACTGCTGCAATTATACTTCCCCTAATTTTAAGTTAGAAATGTTTCCAAATTAAAACAATTTTATGGATAAACATATTGGTAGAATGATTGGTTATTCTAAACACCTAATTCTTGGAGATTTCAAGATTATCTTGGAAACACTGTAGAATTTTTGTGAAAAAAAGGTATATTAACTGATTGCTTTATCCAAAGACACATCCCAATCATTCAGAATAGAATTCAAAGGCCAAAAAATAATTCATTCGACTAATATTCCTTAAAATACTCAGCACACTACCTTATGCTTTTCTGCTGAAGATTTGATGAAAATAATCTTAAAGAATTTGATTTTGGTTCTATTAAGCCTTTCTTTATAAACCTGGAAAAAATAATGTTAATAAAAGTAGGCTACATTTGAATTGTGCTTTATACATCTCAAATATAGCCTGTTTTATTACTGCTTTGTTGTTGCAAAGACAATTAGCAGAGAAGGAGTTGTAAATAAGGGAACTAGGTCAACTGAAAATGCATAGGTTCATATTTGATTTTCTTTTCCTCACATATTAGTTGTTTGACTTAAGTACAAGAAAATGAAGGAACATTGCACAACTGGACCCAGCAAGTGTTCAGAACTGTATGCAATCCACTTAGTTTTCATAGGTCAAATTCTCACATGGAAAGATCATACATCTGGTACTTTGTGTATTTTGACCTGTCAGCATAGTTCAAAAGTCTCAATCCTCCTTATTCCCCTTTTACCAAGCTGTTCTCACACTCCTTTTAAAACTTTTTTCTTTCCTCAAGGTTAAGTTCCAAATATACTGGATGATTTCTTCATTAGGAATTTAACTTGTCTTTTGAACTTCAGTGGTATTTTTATTAGTATGATAGTTTTAAGAGAAGTCCTCAATGTAATTTAAAAAATTACATTGTTTGGGGGCTGTTAGGCTTTTTTAAGAACACATGTGATAGTACAAACCCTTATAAATTATGTTTTTTGATTCTTTTAATAAATTTATGAGGTATGTAGAGCTATGTTCTCTATTTTTCAGATTAAAAATAATCATAGGCTTAGAAACCATAAATGTTCATACATCAATATATGAGTAGAGAATGGCACAAAGCAGAGTTGGAACTGATTGGTGGTCTACTGATTCCTGTGGTTGTGCTCCTGACAAAGTAACAAATACAACATCTTTAATAACCACTTGCTGTAGTTTGGATCCTAAATGTCTTCCAAAGACCCCTGTAATGGAACCATTAAGTGACACTTAGGTCATTGAAGGTCTGTCCTCTCCTCATTCTCCTTTGCTTCCTGGCCATATGGTGAGGCGTTCTGCCAAACACTTACCATGATGTGTCACCACAGGCCCAACGACTGGGGTCAACTCATCTTGGATTGGAACCCCTAAAATTGTGAGTCCCAAACCATTTGCTCTTATAAATTAATTATCTCAGTTTTTTATTTTAGTGATAGGAATCTGACTAACCACACTGTTACACAATTTTGTTAGCAATGATCTGTTTTAAAGTGTAGCTCCTTTTATTGCTTTATTTACTATTTCAAACATTGATACTTTTATATATGTGATTTTTCAGTTGTCAGTTGCCCACTCTTTTATGTGACCCTCTGAGTAACAAGAATACAGTAGAAATCCTCTGCATTCCATGTGATACCCCATGTAGTGAGAATACTAGCACAAGGAGTCAGGGATGGATATTATAAGAAGAATGTTCCAATTCAAGTGTGAAAATCTCATCAATGCAAGTTGGTCCTGTTGTCTCAGAATACAGGTTTCTGAAAATGAACTCCAGACCTTTCTACACAAGAAACAGGAAAACATCCGGTTAAAATGGTCATGCAAATTATTGGATCATCCTGTACAGAGCTATGGGAGTCATTACAGACTCATCCATGACATGCAATCCCAATTTCTGAGTATCTCCCATGCATCAGGCATACTTTAAGGCACTGAAATTAAGAAACAAACATGAAATAGCCCCTTGCCCTCCAACAAAAATCAAGGGACCCTCAGAAGTTTCTTGCGGTGAGTGGGCACTGGTGGCTCATGTGTATAATCCTAGGTACTTGGGAGGCTGAGATCATGAGACTCACAGTTCATGGCCAGCCCAGGCAAACAGTTCACAAAATCCCATTTCAACTAATAGCTGGGCATCGTGGTGAGGGAAGCTAAATCAGAGGATTGTGGTTCCAGGGCAGCCTCGAACCCCATTGAGACCCCATCTCAACTGGTGATGTAGACCAGTTACTCCAGCGATGGCAAGAAGCATAAATTAAGAGAACTGTATGGGTAAAAAGCATGACTCTATTTCCAAAATAACTGGGGTTATAAGAACGGAAGTGTGGCTTAAGTGGTGGAGCACCTGCCAAGAAAGCAAGAAACCCTGAGCTCAAACCACAACACCACCAAAAAGAAAGAGTTTCTTCAGATGGCGCAATTTAGCATAGTGGCTCTCAATATGTATGCTAAACAATTACCTGGAGGGTTTGTTAAAATAGATTGTTGAGCTCTGCCCCTGAGTTGCTTTTTCTAAAGTCTCAGGTAAGGACAAATCATTTGCAGTTTTTGTGCCTAATCTGTAGGATTGCTTTGATGATCAAAAACAAGGATAGCACAGAATCTGGTATGAAGTGAAAATTCAATAAATGTTAGATTCTGTTGTTTTAAAAAAAGGCATATTTCAATGCTCCATAATTTTCCCAGGCTTGGCATCTTATTTTAAACTCCAACTTTGGAATTCAGATAAGGTGCCTTCCATTTCAGCATGTTGTGACTAAGACTATTCATAGCCTTTTGGCATAAGACCTTTGTTTTGGAGTATATGGACAAAGTGCATCCAGAAATTTGAAAACCAAAAGCATAGATAGTTTTTCTCAGCAGCTTAACAGTGCTATGCCTCTCCCATACTGAAAAAGGATGAATGCTAAAAGAAAGTTGAACTGGGAAGAGTGGGGAGAGCAGGGAAGCACTGTCATTTTTATGTATTAACTCCAAATATTAACTCCAAATATTGTCCTGCTGTGTGTACAGTCAATGGGTCAACCAAAATACGGAACTAAGACAAAACCAAAACAACAAGTATTAAAGCTGATAGACATATGTCATCCTCAAACTCAATTATATGATTATTATAATGAAGAAGATAATCATTGTAAGTGCACAAAGTAGGGAGAATTAGGATGAATTTATAAGTTACCACTTCCTCAATCATGCCTGGCTAATCTAAGGGCATATGGGTTGCCTTCATTGCCTATTTTCTGACATGTAAGACTATAGGAACTGGCAGGTGTCCCTCAGATACAGTAAACCCCCTCCTTGTCCAGAGGCCTCAAATGTGACCTATTCTTCTACTCTTCAACAGATCCAGAGAATGTGCTGTTCTGTACCCCAGACAAAAAGGCTTGAGGACAGCTGGGCCAGACGAAGCAAGGAGGTTTTTGTTTGGGGCTGTATTACTGTGGGAGGATCATTTGTACCTTGCATACAGTAATAAACTCCAACATCCTCAGCCTCCACCCTACTGATTTTCAGTGTAAAGTCTGTCCCTGATCCACTGCCACTGAACCTGTTTGGGATCCCAGAAAACTGATTAGAAACTAAATAGATCAGTAGCTGTGGAGACTGGCCTGGCTTCTGCAGGTACCAATACAAATAGGTGTTTCCATTACTATGCAAGAGGCTCTGACTGGACTTGCAGGAGATGGAGGCTGGCTCTCCAGGAGTGGTGGGCAGGGAGAGTGGAGACTGGGTTAATGCAACATCCCCACTGGAACCTGAAATCATAATATGACAAAAGTGTAGGTCATATGTACACATCTTAAGGCACTTCAGTGATTTTTTTCATCGTAATTTATTTTCTCTCAATCATTTTTATGACTTTGGTTGATTCTCTAAGAATACTGCATGTAAAAAACAGAGATTTGCAAAGATAAAGAGGACTACATAATTCTCATATACCACTTGTCAACATCAGTGCTAGTCTTTTTCAAGAACATAGGACTATCCTTCTTCTGGAATCTTCCTCGTCATCACAAATGTAAACCTAACATGTTCATGCTGGAGGACCAGAACTGCACATCTCACATATAGATGTAACACATATGGGAAATAATGGGTCCCAGAGTTCACAATCCCACCCTAACTTTGTCCACACTTCCCTCTATCCTTACCAGGGATCCAGAACAGTAGCAGGCCCAGGAGCTGAGCAGGGCACCTCATTTTCAGAACTGGACTGAGGAGTCCTAGTCAGTTAAGACAAGGTTACAACTGGGCTTTTATCATAAACTTAGGAAGGAGGAACTAGAGTAAAATATGCAAATTTTCTCATGGCTACAAAAGTTTGAGAAGAGCCAAGGAGTAAGACCTGCTCCTATAAGTTCAGTGACAGAAAAACTCTTCTGTGTTTGTAGGAAAACTATTGCAATCCATGCAGCAGTGAACAGAAGGACCACATTGTGAGCCTCTGGATCTGTGGGGAGGACACTATATATGGCCCTATCACCTCATCAGATTCAAGAATATGGAATTTTTTAGCAAGTCAATCTTATGGAGACAGAAGTTCACCCTGGTTGATTCCTTCTTGGTTCGTCTAGAGAGGAATCCAGTATCCACCCCCAACAGTACTAATGTCCAAAGACTTTATCCAATAATAATACAAAATTAAGGTTTTGAAGAATCATTTGATACTTTCCGTTATTAGGGTAAGTCATTAGGATTTTTATCAACAAGTGTTAGAAATGCCTATCCTTGGCATCCAATAAAATCCATAAGAGCACTCAAATCAAAATAAATTGATAGGGAGAAAAATACTCTATCACTTATAGATTGAGAGCTAACAGAGGAAAAAGGGAGAGAGTTTCATGTTTCCCAGTATGAATACGAAATTATTTGTAAAAGGATTGTACAGTCTGGTAAATATCCTGTCCTTTCAACACTTCCTCACTATATTATAGGCCATATTAATCAAAGCAGTTCCTAAGAATTATTTCCTGCTAAGGATAGTGGCACAACATGTAATTCCAGTATTTAGGAGACTGAGGCAGGAGACTATCTACTTCAACTCTAGCCTGGCCTACATAGAGAGAACTTTTTTCAAAACAAAAAAGTAAGAATTCCATGTGGGCAGTGTAATAGAATGAATATGGAATGAGTTTATTTGTTTATGCTGTTTCTGAGTGCTGTTTCGAGAGATTGTCTCCATACTATATTTTGCCTTCATATAGAATCTGGTCTTATCACTGATTTTAGTTTCCTTTTTTGTTCTGTGCGATACCCTCAGTCTCAACAGTGGCCTGTTTGTGGAGCAGCCGCAGCTTCAAGTTGACAGTTCAGGCTAGAGTCCACACAGTAGCACATCAAGTACTGGATCCACTGTTGGTACATGTTTCAGTATAACATGGACCTTTCACTGAGGTTTTCTAGGACCTTCATCTATGCTAATTATGCACCCATATCAGGGTGCTGTGTCAAAGCTTCACTGAAGTAATAATTTCAATCTTCAACTATCCAGAGCTATGATAGTATAAGTTTCTGATGGTTTTGCCACCAAGATTGTGGTACTTTGTTATAGGAGCTCCAAGAAAATAATACTCTCATTATCCACTATGGAACCAGAAGCTATTGGTAGAAGAGAAGCAGAGAGAATCCCATCATTGTTTCTTCTATTAAAAATATATTCTTGAAAATAATATTCTCATAAAGTATTCTTTAAGATGCTTGAATTTTAAACATATTGCTGTTTTATGAAATTATAATAAAACCATCCTAATGTCCAATTTTGCTAATGTGAAATTAATAAAACCTTTTAATGCTTCAGTTTTAATTTATTTCATCCTTGTCTGCAGATATGTTTCCCTATTAAAATATTTTTTAAATTCTTGGTCAAAAAGACTTAGAAATTTCTCTATATTTTTTGACAGAAAGTACCATATGTCTAATTTTGAAAAACAATTTCTGTTTTTACTTTAACAGTCCCTTCTGTGTCCTGGACAATAATACTGAGAAACAATGAAATATGCCCCCTATGCACTGGACACTAAATTGTAAGTTTGTAAAAGGGAGTGAGAACAGCCACCCACTGGGTCCAGGTAGGGAGCTGAAGTTTTCCTAAGGTGAGTCTCTAATCTTGACAACAGTGAAGAAAAAGTGAAGACTTATGCATGTTAATTGTATTGTAATATTTTTCTGGGTTTCCAGATTGCTATTGGTTCAGGGACATGAATTTGGTAGGCTGCTCTTGAAACCAGAATTTTGGAACATAGGCCCAAACTTCTGGGCATCTGCATATCAGATACAGCTGCTCTCCCCTATGAGCCCAATAAAAAGATATGGTAAGGGTAGATAAAGATTTGTTACATAGTTAGGGACATCCAGTGGAAAACATAAAGTAAGCAATCCGTCTATCTTTAGCCATATTCCTGGTACAGACATGGACTTTAGCTTTATATAGGCAAAAATTAGGGCATGGAACGAAAGGTATGCATAAACAGTTCTAGTCCCAGGTGTGTCTCAGTGTGGCCTGGTTGATCATGATCTCAGTCCTATTCTTCAAGAATTCTGCAAAAGTTACTGTGCTGTCATCACTTGAGAGAAGCAATTTTGTCCCCAAGACATGATTTCTCCTGCTCTGGGGTATAGCCAAACCAATAAAGGTAATGGTCCTTATTTAGAAGTTTGGTCTCTCCTGTAATACTCTGCTGTTGCTATTCCTTAGGGGTAGTATTGTTCATTGCTGTAAAGATGTTAAGAATCATTCCTGTCCTTCCTTGATTGCAAGGTGGATGCAGGAGAGAGTGGCTTATAGCAACAGACAAGAGGTACAAAATAGAAACAGAGAGGCCAAGCTTTTCTCCTGTTTCTAATTAATTTGTGAGCTCCAATAAGGAGTCAGTTATTTTCAGCAAAAGAAATTTGGCACCTTTAACAATATGAGTCCTGTGACTTGGACAATTGTCATGGTGGGACGGTTTGCCATCACAATGAGTTTCATGATGGGGGGTGGGGGGTATGATAAAATTACATGTTCTATAGACTTGTCAACCCGCACAGCCCAATACCTGCTTTTGATATTGCTCTTTTTATTATTAAAGAGAGTTTTTCCTTGGGTAAGAATCAAGTTCAAATCAATGCAGAGGAAACTTCAATTGAAAACCGGTGGGAGTTGATTCTTGAGCCCCGTGCACCTAGAATTGAAGCTTGCTTCTTTTTCTAAATTAAAATCTTGGAGTCTGTTTTTCCTTACTTGGAGAGGCTGTCCAGCTCTTATGTATAGAGACTTTCCTCTGAGGCCGGATCTAAGTTACATCTTTTTTTGTTACAAAAATCCTCACATGTGCACAATGAATAGGGTGAAGGAGGAGGAGTACATTTTCCATTGCAATGTGTTTATGACACTTCTCTTGCATCAGGGAAGGAAGTTGTTATAGCTCCCCTTGACTTCAAAAGGCAATACATACCACATCCAGGAGCCCTGATATGCTAGCAGCATTAGGTGACTACTGAGAGTATTTATGGTAGTACGTTTAATCCTCTTCCAAAAGAAATCAGTTTGCATCTAAACTCCCCAATGTAAGCCAAATAAAGGGGAGAAAACAAACGTTACATGCAGATATTAACTGGAATGTATTTCAGAAAATAATGATACCACAGAGGATGTATCTAAACAAAAACAAAACCTTAAGGTTTCAAGATTCAGTAAAAATAATTTTCTTAGATCAAAACCGAACTTACTATATTAGTCATAATTGTAGTTCAACTACAAGAAAATTGTAATTGAAAGAAAAGACAAAGAAAAATGTGGAAGTTGTCCTGAAGTTCACTTTTCAGAGAAAGGAAAATGTAAGATTGGGTATAATTTGCCTAACCATCTACATAGCAATAAAATCTCAATGAGATAATCAAAACACAAAAACGTTTAGACTAGATAAGAAGATAATTTGAGTTGACTGCCCCCTAGTGTGTTTTTGATGTAAGGGTAGGTGAAACTTAATATAACAGCAATAAAGAATTTAGTGTCAAATTTAGATCTCAGAGTAACAATGAAGGGAATTTGACATAAAAGGGCAAATTCCATGAAAATTATCTAAACCACTCTGATGACATGGTTGTGTCCCAGCAGCCATGAAATCAATAGAGAACCTTAGTTGGCTTCTCTTGCAATAACCTAGAACTCCCTGACAGTTTTTTGGTGTTAGTCCTCAGTGAGGGAGGAGGAGTAGACTGAGCTGTCCTGGACATACCCTGGGTCCAGTTGATACTGTCCAGTGTATAGTACCCATCCCTGAGGACTTCATGACCTTTTCCTCAAGGGTTTTGGTACCACTCACACCTGAGCCCAGCGTGGTCTCCAGCAGTCCTTTGGATACTTCAACTTATTCTGTTACAGTAAGAGGCTGAGCATCTCAGGAGAGCATGGATTTGGATGATATCACAGTTCGGGGGTCTGGTGGGTGTCCTGCTCACAGGACTGTGGGCATCTCCTGGCTCCACCTGGGTGATTGTGGGAGGGTAAGCAATAGAATTTTGGACATACATATGTTCAAACTTGTGAACACATAGTGAGTAGAAAACATGATGAAAATTTGCCTTTCGTATGAATTGAAAGCCACTTACTATAAAATACTGCTTTGTAGTTGGTCTGTGATTGAGAATATAAAAGGAGGGAGTAAATTTTGCTTCAGTGCACATGTTTATTATAACCCACATTGGTTCATCTCCACCAGACCTCTTTACTATTTCTTAGTCCCCTTCCCATAGTGGCCTAGGCAAGTTTATGATTACTATACTCACTCCTCTACAGTGAGTACGTCAAGCACACTCAAGTTTTAAGTTTCCTTCCCTTTCCCTATTCCTCCAAAATGTGTTTTCCCCATAGTGTGTGACCCATGTCTAATAATATTACTGTATTTGCTTTAGTTCAATAATTCACATATGAGGGAGAACATGAGATTTCTAACCTTCTGAGCCTTGGGTAACTTCACTTAATATGATGTTCTCCAGTTCCATCCATTTACTTGTAAATGATAAAGTTTTATTCTTTGTAGCTGAATAAAACATTTTGGGGGGATATTCGGGTTTTTACCCAGGGCCTCACACATACTAGGCAAATGTCTACCACTTGAGCAATGCTCTCACACCTAGGTTGTTTCCTTTAATAAATTTTTGGAAGATAAATCTCACATTTATAGAAACACTCAAAATCAAAACATATATATATATTCATATACAAATCTACATACG